AATCTTTCGCCTACTTTTATGATTTTAAATATAGATCAAAGATACAAACGTCTTTAATCTCGAGGGAATCGTTAATATGTTAGCGAAAGCTACTAGTTAGGAGTTTTATGATGAAAGCTTAAGACAGCTTTCAGGACGCTCGACATTTGACAAGATCCCAGTCGTGATCTTGCCGAACGGCGGGAACGGTGCAGAGAGGTGTGTACCAAGACAAGATATCAATGAATTCAACTATTTTTTCACTGTTTAAGTAGTAAGTTATCAAAATATTTTCAAACTTTTGGTTCTATGGGCGAACATCAGTGCAAATGACGATACACTGAGCATTATTTGAAACCTGTAGACTAGTTGGCCTTTTCAAAGATTCTTCTAGATCTAAATTTTTCGTTGGCTAGCAGTTACAATCGTACCTATAACTATGTTATAAAAAAATTAACCACTCTTTCTATCGCCGGCGTAATAAACCTAGCTGGATGTTTTGGAGAATAGGAGAGGAGCTGGTAAACCTCGATCCGGAGGCGAGTGGATCATTAGCTTTTGGAGTGAACTCCAAACATCCAGCGGGGCTCTACACACCGGCAGAATAGTAGAAAGTAGTAATTTATTGCTTACTTATTGTCCGATGCTAAATATTTTGACCCTTCAGGGAACTTAGCGACATCGTCACCTCGAACTCCTTTTCCCCTTATGCGAGTTCCATCCGGCTTTTCCCGAGTAATGTCATACGCTTCATTATTTCCGTCTGCAAAATGCAAAACAGAGGAGAATTTCTTAGACTTACAGGATAGTCGCAGAACTTTTTCATGGGCAAAAGGAAACGAAGTTTGGCGTCTGAATCAATTTAACGCTGTTCTTGAAGGAACTGTTACTTCACTTTGTATCGGTTCGGCCATTCGTCCACCTTTCTTGGAGGGGAATTTCGAATGTGGAACGGTTTCAGGATGGCTATGATCCAGCGCCGACTTTTCATGAGCCAAATGCACAAATTAGCATTGCTTAACTTTAGCAGTTTTCCTTGACCAACATTGTTCAGCGTCTGCATGAAACGAATTACGTAACAGTACTCATTCAAAGTTGGGTTTCTGAACTGGGACAAAGTATACATAATTTATACCCGAGAAAAACTAGGGATTATCAATTGTTAGCCCCCTTGTGATAGTCCCCAATTTTCTAATCATGCGTGCGATGCAATGAGATCTGACCTTTAAAAGTTGATCCATGGTGAAAATAAGAGGAAGGCGGAATCTGAGAAGATTTCGGTGTCGTGTTAGTAGGGGTATTAAGAGATCGGTTTTATCTGATGAATTGATAGTGTCAAATGGCTACTAAAAGAGATTCTAAAGCTGAGGTTGGGATCATTACCTCTCCATTAAATTTGGGAGAGTGTGTGAGTTGAAGAAAAAACGAAAAAGTTGTTCGTCCATTAGCTCACTTTGTAAGGTCAGCATCCGTTTTCGAAAATAAGATTTGGATCTGCACGCTTTAAAACATCAACACAAACTCCGCAATTGCTTCGTGTATTCGTCCCTGATCACTGACCATTCTCGAAAACCCAGTTCCCTTGAGACTCGTCTTGCACAACAATAATTGTCGCTTAGAATGTCTGCGCATATTTTTGCTCCAGATGGAGGCTATAGTCGTATTTTTTTAACTCAGGTCGGTTTCTTCAGTTTGATAGAAATATATCACACGTTAAACAAGTTTTGTTTTATGCACTTATGAGCCGTTTATTGTTAATAAAGTCGGTAGTATAAGCTATCAAAAATATCTCACTCATCTCGCGCTAAGCAAATTGGCTGCTTTAGTTGAAAAGGTCACAAGTGTACACTTACTTGTTTGAGTCTTAACTAACTTGTCGTACCCAACAATCGACATCTTTTCACCTGCTCGCACTTGACGTAGTTATTAACAATAATAATAATAATAATAATAATGATAATAACGGTTTATTGCAGTTTATCTACAGAGTAGTTATACATCTGCATAAAAAGAAAAGATAAAAATAAGCATAAACAAAAGAATCAACAGGATAAAATTTATGTACAATAAGTATATTCTAGTCTGTAATCACTACTAATGCGAATCGAAGCTTTAGTTCTTAAAATGCGAGAGAATTCTCTCTTGAATGTATCAAAAACTGAACAAAGTCTTAAATGGGCAAGCAGCTTATTGAAGAGGTCAGCTGCTGAGTCTTGGAATGTTCCCTTGACAAGTGAGATTTGAAGGAGGGAAGCTTTACTTGATCATGGGTGTCTCTGCATAAAGTGTCTCGTTAGTTTAAGATTTTCAGACCACGAGCTACTGTACAGGGCTCGGTGCACAAGCTTGAGAATGTTGAGCTCAGTATTCTCTAACGTTGGTGGCCAGCCGAGTCTCATTACGTCACTCTCTTTACAAAAACGGTTCAGGAAAAACCCTGTAGCAGCGTTCTGCACCCGCTGAACTTTTTTCTGCAGGAACGCCAGAAGTGGGTACGTCACGCTGTCATTTAAGTTAAGCTTGGATAGAACGAGACTTTGCGCTGAAGATTTCTTGATGTCTTGTGTGGCATATTTTTTATCTTGCGCAAAGTGGACAATACCTTGTAGCACGAAGATGTGACCTGACTCGCACGGTGTGTCCATTTAAGATCTTCCCCCAACCAGGTGCCTAACAACTTAAACTTTTGTGCTCTATCTAAAATTTGGTCCTTCAACCTAAGCGTGGGCGTAGATGTTCCTAGCTCGTGGAAGCGCCACATTTGAGGAGTGGTAACTAGCATCTGCTTGGTCTTTTTCTCGTTCAGCAATTGATTGCACATGCAGGCCCAGGATTCGAGGCTTTGCAAATTCTCATTCATAGCCTGAATGCAGCTATTCAGGTTCTTGGATATGCTATGTAGATTGTGGTGTCACCGGCGTATTGCAGGCAGTTACAACTCTCATGTAAGCAGCCCTTGAGATCGTTGACATACAGTTTAAACACCACTGGTCGCATGATAGAATCCTGGGGGACTCCAAATCAAACACCCGCCGCGTTGGATTGTTTGTCATTAACCTGAACAAACTGCCTTCGCGAGCAGAGGTAGCTTAAGATCCACTACAATGCTTCGTTAGAGACCCCAATGCGATGCAACTTGCGTATCACAACTGAATAATCAACGGAGTCAAACGCCCTATACAAACTCAGCAAAAGCTAAGAGTGTAACCTTACCCTTCTTCATTGCATTTATGATATCTCGAATGCGCAAGAGGACTGTGGAAGTTGAGTGACCTTTACGATAGCTACTGATTCTCCCTCTATAAATCTGACACATCTCCATGTATTCAAGAAGCTGACACAGTACAAACCTTTCATAAACTTTAGAAAGGGCAGGAACAATTGAAATTGGGCTGAAATCATCGTTCTGCACCGGGTTGTCGACTTTTGGGATCGGTGATACACGTGCGATCTTCCAGGCGTCTGGGAAAGAGTGCTCAGAGATGAAGTTATTTAGGACGTGAGTCAGTGGAGAGGCGATGACTTCAGGACTCATTTTGATGTATTTCGCAGGAATCTGGTCAGCTCCTGTTGAACAGTCAGATCTCATAGATTTCAAAGACTTCAGCACTTCACAATAAGTGACAGGTCGAGATGGAATTTAGATGGATCGCTTTCATTCCCAAAAGAGTTTGTAAGCTCTGAGAGCATATCCGCACTGATTGTTGCTGAACCAAGCAAACGTTGCGAGGTCGAACTGAAGTGTTTATTGAGTGTGTCTGGGTCAGCTTGAATAGGCTGTGGGCTGGGATTCAGGATTCGATGAATAGTATTTCAAAGTTCTTTTGGTTTCTTGGAAGACAAGGCTTTCTGGAGAAATTCGCTCTTAACATTCTTGATTTTAGTTCTAATTTTGTTACGTACTTGGCGGAATTTGTCCCATACTGAAGGAGAACTAGTTTGATGCGCTAGATACCTCAATTTATTTCGCTCTTTCTGCATTTCTAGATTTTCATATAGTTAGTAGAGGTTCCCCTCTACTAACTATGATTTTCATCCTCATTTAGCCAGGGTGCAGGTGGACGTGTGATTTTTGTTCGTCGAAGCGGGGCATGTTGGTCGATGCACGATTTCAATAGCGTACTGAACACATGAAGTTTATCGTAGGCATCATCGACACTATACACTAGGTTGAAAGGAAGAGCCGCTAGATCCTCTTTGAAAGAAGCTTCGTCAAACTGCTTCTCGCTACGCAGAAATTTAAAACGCGCTTGAATGCGATTAACCCTGATGTTGATGCATGCATACGGAGATTCATGATCACCTATCGTCTCACAAGGAAGCAGGTCACAATCAGTAATGCGGTTGGGCGCATTACAAATTATGTGGTCGATGAGTGCACGGGACGTGCGGGTTATCCGAGAGGGTTTAATGAAGTGCTGATGCAGATTAAGAGAATCTAACATCCCACGGTATTTACTTGTCTCCAGATTCTCTGGCTGGAGCATGTCAATGTTTGTATCGCCAGTCACCAGTAGGAGACCATCCCATAAAGTATTTAACTGACTAAACAAGTTCTCAGCCTTATCCAATCATGTCTGAAAGGTATGTAGCCGCTCTGAACGATATAGAATACCCAGTAGCATGTCGCTATGTTTATTTCGTCCCGCAATTTCGAGCCAAAGATGTTCTAACTCGCGCGGGTTCTATTATTTCGATATCAGATCGCCGTTTGAAGGATATACCCTCTCTCAGGTAGGCCCCAACACCTCCCCCACGGATAGCATCGCGGTTCCGGAAAACATTTACATAGCCTGAAATGGAGACATACTGCAACAGATGGGGATTGTTTTTTAGCCATGTCTCGCTCATTGTAACGATGTCAAACGGATAAAATTTTATAGTAACAACAAGCTCGTCAAATGTAGAGACCATGCTGAGTATTGAAATGAATAAGCCTGAGCTGTTTTGATCTTTTTTTAGATCTCCTGGGTTTTGATCGTCTTTGGATGTTAGGAACTTGGGTACAAATCAACGGGGTAGGAAACATCGGTGGGTACGAGACGACTGGATACCGTTTACATATAATTGAATGGGGTACTATACTTACTTCTAAAAAGCTTTTCTTTTATTTTGGTGTTATCCGGTTTTTCGCACCATAACGTATATTTGTCTTGAAGTGGACGTTTGTCCTCGAAAAACAGACCAGCTACGTACGAAAAGTAAAGTAAAAGGGAATTTATTAGACTAATAGGATCAGACAACTATGTATAATTGTACATACATACTTCATGTTTGTCTTTCTCTCCTTGTCTACTTCCTTCATGTTGTTAAACCTCCCCGATTCCTTTTTCACTTTTGGCCTCTCCCCTTTCCTGTATTCCTTACACTCACGTTTTAGCACCTAAATGTGATTGATCATGACCTGCTAAATTGATTTGCCACACCTACCTCCAGAAGCAGGAATAACGGATCTTGTATTTTCTCCTGCGTAAGAAAATGGTAAGTATGGACATCAACAACATGACATTCTCCTTCCTCAATTTTCTACACAACAACGATGGGCCGATACCAGTCCCTACTTCTCTCCTGTGTGAGGAATGGCCCAGTGCATATTCGAGCAGATGAAGAGAAAATCTCCTAAAGCGCTTGTATAGTTACAATGTAAATGATAACTAGGAGAAAAAGATCAATCATCTAGTTAAGAAAATATTTGACTGTTGTATTCATAGGGTGATGTGAGCCGGGAATCAATGCAGAAATCACCCATCATACGTCTTCTTTTTCCACCATTTAACTAGTTTTGTTCATCACGCGACTTTGCTAATACTGGGCTCAGAATAAATGCCGGGATTGGCCGAGCCAGTACCAATTAATATTAAGCTCCAAAAGGTCTACCTTAATCGGGATGGAACAGAATTTTTAATACAATGGTAGGCGATTTTTTGGCTATGAAGTTATGTAAACAATGACGGTCAACATATCGCCAGCGTTGGTTTTGGCCCATCATAGAGCGAGAAAGGGTTTCGAACGTAAATCTTTTTAAAGCCGCTTTTGAAGCTTTTTGAGACTACAACAAAAAGGATCGAGGCCGTGTGAAACGGAATGGAACGGAAGGTGTAAGAATTTAAAACGGACCTCAGCACGAACCCACCCATTGGAAGCAAAAGGTTTCCGTTAAAATTTTGTAACTTTAGGGATGCCTGCGGTCATTTTCACATTCCCACATAGATAAATGATCACCTCGATCCATCATAAAAAGCAAAAAGGTTTGCAAACAGACAAATCCAAAGGAATGTGCGAAGCTTCAGTTCGGACTCTGCATCTCATACAAGAACGACAAAGATAGAGGCCGTGCGAAGCAACATGCCCCTTGAGCGACCTGGTACTGGCTCGGCCAATCCCGGTATTCATTTGACCCCAGTATTAGTAAAGTCGCGTATAGGCGGTTTGCAACCAATCTCTAGAGACACAGGTAAAAATGGTGGAAGGAAAAAATGCTGGTGGACGAACACAAGAAATTAATGAGATATCTATTGTTAGCGTCCACCAACATGGCGGAAATGACGTAACGTGCAAACCACCTATTGCTCTGAGTTATTCGTTTCGAAGATTTTCAAAGTTGCAAACAGTTCTCAGAAGGTACGGGGTTACCATTTGACAATCATCAAAAGAAAGAAATAAACCGGTTTAAGTCTGCCCACAGAGGTTTAAGACTGTGCCAGGTACATTTATCGAGACTAAATTTTACAATATGAAAGTTTTGCAGCTTTTGATTTTCATGAATTTTCTGGGAAATCACAGGTATCCAAGCGATTTTGGAAAGTGATAATTCATACATTTAGTGCATAATGACACTGTTCCATGATTAAAAGCACGTGAAAAATGGCACGTCATGCACATGGTCGTATAGCCACCACCGCGTGCACTGCCTTACATGCGTTTGCGAAAAGGTAGCTGGAGTAACATTAATACACGACAAAATAGAACTAAAAATGGGAGGAAATCAGCAAATGAAACACTAGCGTCATTAGCAGGACAAAAATATGACTTACTCATCTTCATAACCATTTTTCTGAAATTATCAAGGAGAGTACTTACCATGTTTCCTTTGTATCTCCTTTGTTTGTAGCCCGGGGAGGCACACAAAAACTATTACGACGAAAACGACCAGTATGCAGACAAAAAAAATCCACTGTAAAACTGAAAAAAATGGGCAATTTGATTGTAGCTTATGGTTATCATGGGAAAATGCTAAACATTTCAGGCTAACAAATTGTTTAACATAGATCACATTTTTTGCTCCACAATTTACTCATGCTTTCAGTACTTTTATTCAGCATGGATCTTACTTGAGGCATATTATGAAGTATTTTTTTCTTCACTCTCTTGATGTTATTTGTTTCATGACTTTTCTGGAGACGGTTTAAGTTATTGTAAATATATGCAAAATTTTTTAATCATTCGGCTGCTATTAAAGTTTCTAGGGTATTTATCCTCTACAGAAGGATTCTTCCATATCAGGAATGAATATGAGGAACGCCTGGTCTCTGATATATTGACCTTATGACTGTTTTTCCATAGACTGTTACACCACCGTGATATACAGAAAAAAGAGGCAGAATACATAGATATTGCTTTCGCGTTGTTTTTAGGGTTATTCACACTCACAACACAAATTCGAGTTTCAAGTAAACGTAATTTATGGTGATTACCGCGAAAAAAATCTGTTTACGTTTGGGACAGCACTGACAGTCATGAAGTCAAACAAGCTAAGGTTCCATCTGAAATCTCGCTCAAGAAGCCACGTAAGCAATTTCTCTAGGTTAGGATTAGGTGGATAAGGAACGTTGACAAGGGAAAAGATAATACGTTGTTATGCAGAGTGAGTCCGCATAGCTTGCTTAAGGATAAGGAGCTCAAAAGCGCCTCGATTAGAAATGCATAAAGAAAATGCTGGTTTCGTACGCTATTAAATGAGAAGACAATCAATAATCATTACAAAGAAAACGAGATTTTTGTTGGAAAAGATGATAGGTCCTTTCGCGGTAAGAACCTTAAACCTTATCGATCCTCCTATATATTTTTTTTTTTACTGTTGATTTATTTGCACCTGGTTGCCATGTAATTCTACGGGCGAATTTACGATTCACGGGTCAGATAAAGTGAGTGAACATACTTCTGTCATCTCCTGTACTTTTCTCCGAACTTGATGCAGGCGTCTCGTCTTGCAATACTGTGATTGATGACGGATCAACATTAAAACTCCCAAACTTCCCATCCACCGCAGCATATTTTAGAGTGGAGATTATGATGCTAGCTCGAACTATTCTCTTAAATTCCAACTCGAAATATACCTTCACACTGTCCCTTCTACGGAAATGAAAACAAAATATGAATTAACGTTTATTTTCACGGCATCTTTTTAAAAACATCTTTTTACGAAGTGAGTTACATTTTCCTCTGCCAATGAACATTTGTGTGTTTGACAGTTTGTCTGCTTGTTTATAGGGGTTCAGTTTCTAAAGAAACGTTAGTTCTGCGTCGGTTAGGGTGTAACAAGGTAATTAATTTGAATGTATCAGCTAAGTTAATAAATAAACGCAATTTGGCAATCGTAAAGAGTTTGTAAAGCTATCGTAGCACGCGTTAGCCCTCTGTCAGAGCCTTTCAACTCAGTAGATGAAACCGAATTATCTTGTCTGCTTGTCCGTCCTCCGAGTTGGTTGACTGGCTGGTTGAAGTGTCATAATTAACGTAGGTGATTTCAATTCACTCGTATATTTTTAATGAATTATAAAGTAAACGCTAATCAACGCCACCTACTCGGGTTGTATCACTTTGGTTGCATAATACTTGATATCATCTTTAAAGAGATCCTCAACCTGTCAAGAAATTAATGGCAGTTTAAGGAAAAAGCTTAGTTAGTTCGTGCAAATTTAGTTGATAGATGGCAGTAGTAGAAACGTTCTTTATGGTGAGTAGCTAGTGTCCCTTTTCTTTTTCGAATAATCCATTTTACATGAACTTTTTTCTCAGACCACAACTCTTTATGTACGTGTAAGATTTTCCTACCCACCAATTCTTATCGATAGTTGTCTCGCTGTCACCACGGTTAGTATAGCCGCACTGTAATTAAATAATGGATGGCTAAATGCCCGCAATCTTGCTCTTACTAGGTCGAGAATGTATTTTACTTTGATCGGTCTGACCAAACGTTAAAAATCCCGTCCCTATTAAATTCTAGTGCCTCAGCGATGAGAGCTTCATGGGATTTACAATTTGAACATTCTCGAAGCAAAATTTGCATGTAGCGTGAGTATCGTAAATAGAATACATACACACATACATACTTTCTTGCATAGCTCCCCCTTAGGCTCTTCCGCCATACATGAGTGATAAAATATTTAGTTACAAAATTAAAATAAAACTATTTTCAGATAAAAATATGGATTATAAAAACAGCTTACATTTCAATAATAAAATACAAAACAATACAATAGAATACAATTGATCATCGCGGCTCTCCTATACGAGGCTATTCTGTCGTAATACACAATGATATATACAATAATAAGTTAGAGTGGGTAAAAGAATATATATATGTGTTGCCAAAAAAAACAAAAAAAAAACAGGATAGAATAAAAATAAGTGAGCCTGTCGTCCCCCTCAACTACACGACAGTACTCCTGTTTTGACCCTCTCTTTTTACAGTGCCAGTGTTAAAGATCCTTTTAGGATGGTAAAGCTAAGGACTAAACCAAAATATCGAACAAAAGCTATATTCAATAGAGTACTTCGTGGCTTCAATCTGCATAGGTCACTTGACAATTGGTTCATACGTCAGCATGCGTTCATCGAGATATAAAGCACGCGGGAAGTTTGGAGAGCACGAAAGATGCGTAAGAGTTGCTCAAGGCGTAGCCTCGAGCAACTCTAGCTTCTTGGGTGCTCTCCAAACTTCCCGCGTGCTTCATATCTCGATGAACGCACAGCTGATGCATGAACCAATCGTTTTATAATATTTTCAACGCTATAGTTTATGAATAAAGGACAGAAATTCACTCTCCTACCCTTCAATGCGTTGTTTATTTCGTTTCGGAAAAGTACTTCGCTATGCTTCAATGATCTTATATCAGATTAGTCAAAAACTGACAGGTCAATTCATGCTTGGAAATAAAATTAGAGTTGCGAAACGAGATGAAACCGTTGATTGTTTTGTTTTCCCTTTCTCTGGGTTCTTTCTCGGGAGTTAAAAACTCCATTCCCAAAGAAAAAGTAGGCAGATCTTCATCGGCTTGTTCGCTTATTGCCATGTCTAGTTTAACTTTTATGCGGAAGTTTTTCCCGTTTTTTAACGAAAAATGCTGAAGTCACTCGCAAGAAAAAAATTTTTTGCTAGCCATTAGTTGGCTGACGTCACCAGCGTGCACGATGGAAAATTGAAGCACGCTCGCGCAATTGAATTTGATTGCATGAATTTACAAGGTATGTTATAAATTGTTTTATAACAACCAATTCCCACAAAAATTTCGATTTATGGGGGCTCAGTGGATTGGAATAGTTCAGAATATTCAGAGGAGATCAAACTTTCCTCCTTCTTATACAACCACTGTGACTTCTTTTTCCAAAATACCACGATTATCGTTTGAGGGTACGGCATTCAGGGAAACCGCAGGCAGTCACCAGTCTAACCTATTGAGTAACTTATTAGGTTTGTCATGAGCATCATTTAATTAATTCCTTCCACCATTGTGGAAATGAGGTACTATGCTTTCTTATAGGTGATGCGAAGAAAAATATAATGTACAATTCGATGGTATGATTAAAATTTAATTATAGTGTTATAGCAACCATAATATACAACTCACCTCCTGAGCAATACGCTTGGAGAAACTCTGATATTTCTCACTTTCCTTATTCATTAAACTATTGTCAAATTTCTCATTCAAGATCACCATTTTTCCACTGATGAGCCTGCTTTCACTTCCTAGCAAAAGAAAAGAAAAAGTCCATTTCATTTATTAAAATGTCTACTCAACGAATATTGTTCCAAAGGGTTTAACAGTGTATATATGGATGTGCAACGGAAAAATCAAAAGAAATGTCAAAAAGTGACTTTTTTCTCCTAGAATATACAATGCCATTGTTCCGAACAAATAAAAACCAACATGAGCTTTTAGTTAATCCCGTCCATAACGGTTACATAGACATAAATCGGACTGATCAGTCTATATATATCAGCCTATATCATCCTCTAAAACTTGGCAAATGTTAGTGTAAAGTGTATATGAATTATGCAAGATAGGCCATAGTCTCCCTCGCAGCCGTTTGTTTTGGATGTCACGCACCGCTCCCCCAACTACTTTTATTTTCTGAGAGTGGATAATAGAAATTCATGCGCTGTTATTGTGACAGGCATGCCTGTTAATCTTGGCGACGGTGAAGGGATGCAAGTGCCATCCAAACTTTTGTTTGAAGGAGAGAAGAAATACGTCAGTATTCTTGAAAGAGAGTTCATAAAGCCGAAAGACTAAAATTGGATTTTTCGTCAACTCTTTAGGCACAAGAATTTCCCTCACATCGAGATGTTAACAACTTCTATAAAGCACCGCACATACAGTATAGGGATTAATGCACAGAGAACTGTTTTACACAATATAAAGGGATTAACGAACTGGGAAATGTTCGAAACTGTTATTACATAAATATATACTCTAATTTCCGACAGCGTTTATTCTTTTTCATTCAGCTGGTAACTTAACTTCGAATTATCGGGGTAAAATCCGAGCTAAGGGAACAAAAATTACTTCGAATTATCCGAGGTAAAATGACTGAGAAAAGTGGGGCAAAACCAAGGGAAATGAGATTCTACTTCGAATTAGCGGGTACTTAGAACTATCCGAGTTCGAATTATCGGGGTCCAACTGTAATAGCATCGAGGTTTCGCATAACAGCCCACGGACACGAATAATGACATCGAGGTTTCCAATAACAGCATACAGACACGAATAATAGCATCGAGGTTTTGGCGAACATCATTGCGAACACCCAAAACGCCAGTGAAAATAATAAAAACCGCATCGGCATAAATTTGGAGGTAAAAACCTCTCATAACAACTGGGCCCAGATGGACAAATGTACACTTTCGTAGCTAATGGAAGTAGGATCATCGAAATGGCGGAGTGCGCCGGATCAGACAATGCAAAACAACACTGTTAAGCATTTCGCCCATATCTCGCTTCGGAACGTAGATTCTTCAAGAGACAAACAATGCAATTAATGTAAGAACTGTTCACTATGCACAATCAACTACTAGTGAGGTAAAATGAAGGTTGAGAGAAAGGAGAGCACAGGATTTCAAAAATTAAATGTAGTTTTTATCAATGATCGTTTTGTATATGAGAACGATCCTTCGCAGTAAAGCACTATTTGAGCAATAGTGAAAATCAGACCTGAAAAAAATTTCAGGCCTGTACGGGATTCGAACCACTGACCTCTGCGATACTAGTGCAGCGCTCTACCTATTGAGCTAACAAGCCAACTGGGAGCAGGCCATCAAATTAATTCGACATAAACCCGTAGATGATAAATCAAACAACAACAAACATATGAAACATATGTGTGAACTGCGGTTATGAGACGTATATGAG